GGTGCCAAACCATTGGAGTAACCATATCTGCTATTAGAGGAGCCCCGTTAGCCCCTGAAGGTAGCAGTTAAACAATCTGGCTGCCAGAAGGACCTGGACAAGTCAAGTGTGATTCAGGGTGGTATTCTACACAAGACTCAGAGAATTAAACATCTTTTATAAAAGCTGAATTAAACAGGGATTATTAAGAAGAAAGTGGCGGTAAAAATTAAAAATGAAGATCCTGGTTGTACTTGGGTGTTTCCACTTCCTTAAATCTTATTCTAAACCAAATTTTCTTAACCTGAGATACAAAGACCCCCTAAAGAGCAAATGGATAAGCCTCAGAAGATCTGTGAGGCTCCTGAAACTGCATGCGATGGTTTGTATGTTTGTACACATGTGGTTTGGGGATGGAAGAAGTCTATAGCTTTTATCAGATTCTCAAAGAAATATTTGATCCCAAAAAGGTTAGGAGGCACTTATTTGTGTTATAAATTACTAATGAAAATTTTCCATGTCAATACAGCCATTTTATTTCTATAGGAAAAGTACAGTTCATTAGAAAGTATTCTATTTCCCCCTTGAGTCAGAGAGAGCCCCTGGCCCGTGAGAAACCTTTTTGTCCAAGCTCTGGGCTGTGAGCTCCAGCCCGGCACATGTCCCCCTGCTGGCCGCTGTGAGACCTGTAGCCACAGCCCCTGATTCAGGGGAGACCTGCAAGTCCAGATAACCCTGTTGATGACAAATGTCATAGGCTAGATGGGCAGTTGGCACAGTGAAAGACAATTCTTCAAAAATTATTAATAACTGTATAATTATGTTAACACACATTAGAAAAATATAAGAAGGAAGTTGATTTTGAGTCATTATTTTCTAATTGTGTTAATAATAGGACAGGTGGATTTGGCAAAAGAAAAGCTAAGATAACAATAAATAACTTGAGTTTGGAAAACAGTGATCAATTCAATCCTCTCGTTTTCTGATGAGGAGAGTGAAGTGTGGAGAAGTTAGGAAACTACGCCAGGTCATATGCAGCTGGTCAGTGGAAGAGACAGGACCAGAACCCAGGTTTCCTGACCTCCAGTCCAGGGTTCTATCAAGATACTTGAAAGTCCTTCTCACTGGGGTGTCAGAAGAAAGGCTGAAGGAGGATTTTCTCTAGGGCAACTGAACCACATTAGAGTGAATGTTCTCTCTCTCTCTCTCTCTCTCTCTCTCTCTCTCACTCTCTCACTCTCTCTCTCTCTCTCTCAATAGATATTCACAAAAGTGAACCCACAGTTGGATATATACACATATGTATCACATTCATTTATTCAGTGACTATTTATGGAATACTTATTATGGGTCAGCCACTGTTCTAGTCTCTAGGAATAAAAAGATAAATACAGTACAGTTTTGTCCTCAAGAAGCTCTTGTCTGTCAGAGCAGACAGATATTGAAGGAAACAGATTTAAGAGCCAAGACAGGGGTGAGGCCATTCTAGGTGCTCCAGTAATTCAAGGGGGAGACGGTGTGACTTATGGGCAAGGCTTCACAAGGATGGTAGCTGAGCTGAGTCTTGAAGAATGAGCAACAGTTAGGTGACAACAGTGGGGCATGTGCAAGATCATAGAATTTAGAAAACATTCAGACCATTTATGTAACATCTAATACTCTAGTATGTGTGGCTTGCAGGTGCTGGTAACAGCTAGTTGAATTCTGGGCTGCTGGGAAGCTGGGCAGGAGCTGGATTGGACATTCTTTGCTTGTCATGCTAAGCAGAATGGATTTTATCCTGAAAGAAGAGAGGGCCATTGAGCATGACATGATATTTCCATCTGTGGCATTGTGGAAGATGAATTAGAGGGAATAATATTGGAGTCAGGAATACCAGCAAGGAGACCACTGCAATAATCCAGGTTACAAATTTTAAAGCAGAACAAAGGCATTGACCTGAGGTGAGCACACTGAGTGGGAATGAGATAGAGGTAGACAGTAGAACCAACAGGACTTGGTAACCAATGACATCAGGGAGTAAGGCAAAGGAAGGAGCCAAGGATGTCTCAAAGTTCTTGCCTGGGTAACTGGGTGGATGGTGGCATAAGTCACTGAGATTGGGATATAGAAGATGGGGCTGACTGGGGAGAATGATAGTAAATTTAATAAATAGTTTCTGAAAATAGTATAAAGGCAAGGATGAAAAGATGGTAAACTTTTTAGGAAAAAATAAGGATAAAAATAGTGAACTTAGTAAAGGTCAGGGAAATGTTCAATAGAAAGCTGAATTGTAGGTTGGAACTCTGGAGAGAGATCAGGGTTAGAGACAGAAATCAGAGGGAAATTAGTACATTAATGGTATCTGAAGCATGGGTGTATTTGAGATCATCCAGAAAGAGTACATAAAGTGAAAAGAGAGGATAGGCTGGAACAGAAGACAGAGGAACATAAATATTAAGGAGACAGGGAGAAGAAGAGGAGCTTGTAAGAGATTGAGAAGACTGGCCAACAAGGTAGCAAGAAGACCAGGAAAGGCTGAATCATGAAACCTAAGGAGAGAGAGAGTTTTAGGAATGAATTTGAGTGATTAAAAGTCTAGACAATGCAGTGAGGTAGAGCAGAATAAGAATTGAAAAATGCCTTTTAAATGTAACAACTAGAAAATCATTGCTGACTTTGGTAGTGATAGAGATAGAAAGCAGATCACAGTGGGCTCAAAAAGTGAATGGGAACTAAAAACATGTTGTACAGGTACCTCCTGTGAGGAAAAGGAGAGAGGAGAATAGTTAACAAGGTGAGCTAACAGTTTACATTGGCTTCACAAATGGTTAACAAAGACCTGTACTATTAGGTTGACCCTATTAGGTTGAGCCCTATGAAACTGCTATCTTGATAGGTCACAAACAGTCAAATATAAGAAATGTCAGATGGTGTAACCTAATTGAGTGAGAATGCATGATATTGCCTTTATTTTTGCTCATCGTGTTCTATGAGAAACTCAGCCAAGACCATAACAAAAGCATCGCTCTCCATCCAAATCACATATAGACTAAAGAGACAATAATTGAAAAGCCTTTGCCAGCTCAGACTTAGAAAGGCAGTGCAGTGTGCTACTTCCAAGCAGGGACTTCAAGCCAGATGGCCGGGTTTGTGCCTGGGCTTAGCACCCACCACTGGGTGGTCTGCATAAGGCCCTTAACCTCTCCTGGGCCTCGTTTCCCCATCTTTAAGTACAGATATAGATATAGAGGATGATGATGTAGATTTCCATATAGACACGGATATCAACATATAAAATAGTACTACCCCCTAGAATTCTCTTGAGGATTAAATGAGTTACTTCCTGGCCATCAAAGGAAGAACAGATAAGCAAATTGTGGTACATCCATACAATGGAATATTATTCAGCCTTAAAAAGGAAGGAAATTCTGACACATGCCACAACATGGATGAACATTGAGGACATTATGCTAAGTGAAATAAGCCCATCAGAAAAGGACAAATACTGTATGATTCGACTTATATGAGGTACCTACAGGAGACAAATTCATAGAGACAGAAAGTAGAATGGTGGTTGCCAGGGGCTGGGGGGAATGCAGAGTTAGTATTTAATGGAGACAGAGCTTCAGTTTGGGAAGATAAAAAAAAGTTCTGGAAATGGATGGTGGTGATGGATGCACAATAATGTGGATATACTTAATGCCACTTAACTGTACACTTAATGGTTGAAATGGTACATTTTATGAAAATAAAAAAAATGAGTTACTTGTTAAAGCACTTAGTAACTGTTATGTAAGCACTTGTTAAGTAAATAGAAACAGAATACACTAGCAGATGCTAAAAATGTGCCAAGACTGGAGCGGAGGACAAGAATAACCCCAAAGAACAAAAGAAAGAAAGAATTACGTGATAAGTCAATTTGGGAAGGATCCCATTGTGAGAAAAGGAGAGGAAATGAGGTGATACCTCAATGTCAGATGAAAAAAGAATAGAAATGGCGAGGTGGAAGTCACCTGCTCTTTAAGAAGACCGCATAAAAGTTCATTCAACAAACGTTTATAAGGAAGCACCTACCAGGTGCCAGGCACCATGCTGCGTGCTCCCAGCAGATCTGCAGAGCCAGCACATGAGAAAAGAATTGGCCTCACTGTTAAGACAGGCTGTGGGGAGACACCAGGATAAACCAAATGTATAATGCCGTGTATACTTAACAGGAATAGGCCAGACAATCTTGTACTGTCAGGGCCAACTGGAAGCTGGAAATGAAGTATAATTGCTGTGGCTGTGTTTACCCCTAAGTAGAAGCAGACCTGAATTGTGATTAGGCTGATAGTATTCATCAAAAACCTGTTCTTCTCAAGCCCTCACCGAAGGAGAGAGGTTGCAAGCAGACAGATGAGAGCAGTGCTTCTCAGACTTTTCAAATACGCCAGCGCGTGGGACACAGCCTCAGAGAGCCTGACTTAGTTGGTCTGGGGTGGAACCTGGACATTTAAAAACTCTCCACAGGATTCAAACACACAGACAAGATTGAGAGCCACTGGATTAGAAACAGAATTGCTCTCTATATATTATCCATCCCAGGAGACCCTCAGGTAGCAGAAACCGGAAAAGCTGTTCAGGAACTGGAGGTAGAGTCAGGAGGAGGATGTGTTTTCATCCCTCAGTCAGAGGGGATCATCTGTGGATCTTACAGGCTAACGCAATGACAGAAGACTGAGCTGCCCTTGACAAGAGGAAATCCACCCCCACCTCCTCAGAAGGTTGGATTCCCAGGGGAAGCTTAACACCCAGGCCGTGGCTGTGCCTGTGGAGGGTCTCTCTGTCAACTAACAGAAACGGCTTCTTAGGAGAGCATGAGCCACACTGGTCTCTCACTCTGGAAGGAACCCCCCCTGCCCAACCAACAAAAGCATGCTTCCCAGGAAAAAGCAGCTGAGGGTCTCTCCAGCTAAGCCCCTCCCAGCTCTTCACTACATGGGAGCCAAGAGAGGAAGAGCCCCGAAGAGAGGAAGGTGGTGGAAATCCCTGGTACTTACTGTTGAGTGGCCCGGCGCAAGGCAGCCTGGGCCTGTGCTCCCAGGTGGCCCAGAAGGCTGCTAAGGGCCGGCTGCCTTGAAGGAAGCTGAAAGTGCAGGCTGCTTTTCTCTTGCTCCAGGTCTTCTAATCTTTGTTTTAACATCTCAGCTGGAAACACAAAATGATGAGAGAGAGGAATAAAGAACCATGAAACTCAAAATAGATGATCCAGTGCCTCTTAGCTCCACTCCCAGACAGTGTTCACCTTAACGACACAGTACAAAGGTTAGTGGTTTCCAGGCCAGCACTTTCATCTCTCAGTTGGTGCTTTTAAGAATCTTCTGTCTTTTTACTGACAATACAGCCCTCCTATCTGTCATTCTTCCAACTATCAGGGGGTGCAGTTTATGTATTTACATCATGGTCATAATTATGATCATCACATAGAAGGATACTTAATTATTTTTAAAACGATGGTGATCATTTGGGAGAAAATCTGCTAATTTTGATGAGTTCTATATAATCAATGCCCAAGTGTTGACTTTAAAAATGCTTCCTTAGAAATTGCCCATCAAGATAGAACCAGTCACAGTTAGCAAAGTCATAGAAGTGAAGTTCAGATTCTATCATGTTATAGATGACCATACATCCACTTCTGTTAGAAAGTAGGGGTCCTATTAATTTTTTTAATGATCTTAAGTGTCCTAAGACAGATATAAATATAGAATCCCTGTAAACAATTTTTCTTTAAAAAATTAAACTGCAGAAATTGGAATTCCCTCAAATGAGAACTTACCTTCATAATCAAACACCTTAAAGAATTGGGAAGTTTCCCATAAAGGTATCTTTGCAGAAATGTAAGGACTGGGTTTAAAAATACCATCCATCAAAGTTTCCCTCCTGCTGGTCTTTGCCAGGCAGGTGAGCGGAAACCTTGATCCCCTCCACCTTTGGGTAGTAGGTGGGTCCTGGGTCCACCCAAGGTCCCAGGCAGCCACCTCTGGCCTTGAGTGCCCACTGCTTACCCACATGTGCAATGCAAATATTATCTTTTTCTGTGTGTGCCATGAGGAGAAGATGTTTTGGAGGCTCTACCCTAGATCACAAAAACTCCTTGACATCTGTATGGCCCTACAGGCCATTTTCCAAGTAGGCCATTTCTATAAGACTCAATTTTAAATTAAAACACTATTTCAACAAGCTTGTTATTTTTAAAGCACTTTGAACAAAAACTTTTATCACATACCAGCAGAGGTCAAAACTAATAGCAGCACACTCCTCACATGACACTTCTCTCATGCTAGCCCACTCCCAGGACACACTTGGGTGGAGGATAGGCGGGCCTCAGGTGCCATGGGCAGCAAATTCGTGTCTCTGGGGATGTCAATCGAGAGACCTCCCCATAAACTTGCCATATGCATTGGGACCAACAGCCAGAAACTTGCTAAGAGAATTTGCCAAGGATTCATTCTAACGATACCAAAAAGGGTCATTTATTTACTGTTCAAAACCAAGTCACTAATAATAAGGGCTCTCAGTTTATACAGTTTTCTTCAAATCGACAAGCTGGAGCTAATTCTGACACCACACTTAAAATAGACAGTGGAGTGTGGCCTGACAGGTCTTCTAGGATAACGCCAAAAAGTACCTATTCCCTAACACCATGCTTCAATTTTTTTTTAATTCATTTCATTTTATTTTAATTAATATTTTTGGTTTTTATTACTTTATTTATTTTGTTATGTAGTTGTTTACTTACTTCTTGCTATATAACATCAAAACATCAGAGAAAAGCAATCAAGTTCTTACTTTATGTGCTTTAAAACAACATATTGATGCAGTCCTAATGTAGTGGTAAAGATGTGTCAAGACACCATTACATGGGGATTAGAAGAAAACCTGAGTTTTTACCTCAACTCTGCCATTTCTAGCTGTCTGACCTTCCAGTTACTTAACCTTTCTAAGCTTCAGTTTCCTAATCTGTAGAAATGGGGCTAATAATAGTATTTACATCGTACGGTTTTCTGAGGATTAAATGAGATAATCTATGCAAAGCATTTAGCACCAAGGCTGGCACCTAGCTTGTGTCCAAAAGGATTGGCTATTATTAGTAGCTCCATGAGGGACTGGCCGTCGAGTGTTCATAAGAAAGTTAGAAACCCAGTCTGGCCTCCCCCTGCATCCACCATATTTTAAATCATACCCTCCCACTGCCAGGTGAAAAGGCCTCAGAGAATGCAAGCTGATCCAGCAAAATAAAACCCCAGAAATGGTAAATCAGCTACCAAAAATCTCATTCACAATAAATCCCAAAGGAAAATATGAATTATCCCAGGAAATACCTCTGATTAGCTATGTTCTATGCTGCCACTCACCTTCAAAATTGTGGATATCTAAAGGTATTTCTATTTTATGATTAGAAAAGTGAACTAGGATGGTGATCATCAATTTTATAGCTTATCATTATCTCTAATTTCTAAATGATCTCCTACTCCAGCCTCCCGAATGGCTATCAGCTACAGGGGGTTTCATTTCACATGCCAGCATCACCTCTGGTTGGCATTAGGGTACATTCTACTGGTTCCTCCAAATTACAGCCCTATTCACTAATTAGATATCCCAGGCAGTGGGAGCTCCCAGCCAGGGCAAAGGCCCTGAGGTGGCCAACAAAGGGGAGAGTAGTAGGAGATGAGGTGAGAGAGGGCAATGGGTAGGCTTGATCATCAGGGCCGCATAATTGTAAGGACTTCGGTGTTTACCTTGAGGGAGACGGGAGCCACTGGAGGGTTTTGAGCAGTGGAGGGACATGATCAACTTAACGTTTAACAGGAAAACCCCGATGCTCTGTTGGGAAGAGACCATAAAGGGCAGAAGCCCAGAGACCAGTCACAATGTTACTGCAATCCCCTAGACAAGACCTAATGGTGGCCACCGAGAAGTGCAAGTGGGGATGGTGAAAGGTGCTTGGATTTTGGATATTCTCTGACAGATTGGACACAGGGAATGAGAGAAAACTGCAGACAGCCAGCTTCTTGCTGTTGTCTTCTTGCTTATAAGAAGCTGGCCTCTTCTTATAAGGGCACCAATCCCATTACGAGGGGTCCAGCTCATAAAAATCACCTCCCAAAGGCCCCACCTCCTAATGCCATCATATTGGGATTAGAGTTTCAACATACGAATTTTGGGGGACACAAACATTCAGTCCATTGCCCACCTCAAAGGGGGCAGGGGGAAGTTTCAACCAGAGTGGCCCACTTTATCCATTAATATAGATGGTGCAGAAAAATGGTTCCTCTGGGAGGGATGAGTGTTTGAAAAATGATTGAAAATAGTATTTTTCACTTTCTAAATGTCATGCTTATTTATTATTTCATGTATTTATTCAATTAACAAATACTTCCGGTAACTCAATATTGCTAGGCTGTAGGGCTGCAAAGATGAACAAGACACATTCCTGGTTCTTAATAAACTCAGTGACTGGCGACAGGGATCAAAATTGTTAACAGGCCTTCTCTTGTCTTCCTGTGCCTCGTTGGTAGAGGGGGGGCATGAAGGAGCCCCCTCTGCCTGCCAGCACCCAGGATGCTGAGGAAGCCACAAAGAGGCATATGGTGGCATGCTTGGTGATGTGCCCACCAGTGCCAGAGGATGAGGCACACTGAGGGGAAAGGGGCAGCAGGTGGAACAGACAGCCAGGAGGGTGGGAGATAGGTTACACTGAGAAATAAGCAAATAATTAAATAATTAAATTGATGGAACAAGTAAGTAAATATATGGAGGATAAAGAGAGCCCAGTTTCTCAGTATTGGAGAATTTACTTACAACTGTGGAAAGGGGTAGAGGCAGAAAGAACTTAGGTGTGCTATAAAGGAACTGGAAGTACTGGTATAAACGAATGGTTTTTAGTATAGATACTCACAGATAGATATGAAAACATAGATATATGTGTCTGTGCATTTATGTATGCATTTATGTATATTTTCTTATCTTTATCCACTGAGAAAGCCTAGAAGCAACAATATCCCAGTAGCAATGAGCACACCAATCACACAGATCCTGATTTCTGAACACCATCTTCTGTGAAAGGAATTGGAGCCCCTTGGAGGAATGGCTGACTCTAGGCCTGAGGCAGGGCCACTACAAGATGAGTCTGGAATATCTCGTACAGAAAAATTAGGATGAGGGGCCAGCCCGGTGGCATGGTGGTTAAGTTGGCGTGCTCCACTTCGGCGGCCCGGGGTTCGCAGGTTTGGATCCCAGGTGCAGACCTACGCACCACTTATCAAGCCATGCTGTGGCAGGCGTCCTACATATAGAGTAGAGGAAGATGGGCACAGATGTTAGCCCAGGGCCAATCTTCCTCAGCAAAAAGAAGAGGATCGGCAACGGAAGTTAGCTCAAGGCTAATCTTCCTCACTAAAAAAAAATTTTTAAAAATGAGGACATGCTCAAAGACTGGCGGGGACACGTCAGTAGAACTACAGGAGCCATCTTGAAGGAGCTTCCATGGGCCAAATCTGGGATAACTTGAGAATCAAATAAATAATACTATTAATGAAGTACAACCCATTGAATAGTATTAAAACCCAAGCATCCATGCTAATAAGATGCCGACTAATAAAAAGGAATAATGGAATAGAGGTTTGGTGGGGGGCAGGATACCAGTGTAATCTTAGAATATCTCCCTCACAGTATACTAGTCAATTTCCAAAGGAAAAATGGTAACTTTGTGGTGGAAGAACCTGGAAACCACCAGCATAACCAGATGGTCAAGGTTAACATCAGCAGTAGTGGCACAGGTCTACATTGTGTGACACCTGATGAGATGCACCGAGAAGCACACAGTATCATTTCCATAACGTTCCTGTCAGGGCTGCATGACCTGAATCTAGCCATGAGAAAACATCAATGCACCCAGACTGAAGGTCGTCCGACAAAGTATAAGGTCTGCACTCCTTAAAACTTTCAAGGACATGAAAGACAGAGAAAGACTGAGTACTGAAGAATTGTTCTAAGATGGAGGAGACTAAAGAGACATGACAGCTACATACAATCTGTCTCCTGAACAGGAAAGGAGAAAAGAATAACATTGGGATCATTGGTAAAATGTGAACAGAGTCTGTAGACTGGGTAGGAGTGGTGTATCAATGTTGATTTCTTTATGGGGA